ATCGGCGATAACATAGAACAATAGTCCTCATGTATGTACACCAGGTTACATAGTTTGCCATAACACTACGGACGGAACACAATGCGATTTGGTCAGATTACAATGCACTGGGAGCCTGTATATGACGGTTTTATGTCTAAAACTTGAATCAATTCACGAGAGTTTGCGCAAGCTCATAGGCACAGTCCTGTATCCGGTGAGTTACTGTCCTACACCGACGAACCGGTTGCACCTCACTGGTGTGCGCAGGTCCTCCCACTAGAACGCGGAGATTCCTTACGAAGCTAGTACACAAGTCATTCACAACAAATACCTCGTAAAAGGCAAGAGTAAGATGGTCGTAGGGAATATCCGCTTAGAGATCCGATAGGGGGAAAACAAAGAGTAGATCACCGGTGCCATTGCAAACGATTTTAAGCCCATTCATGTCAAAGTATCGACACCATCGATTTTGTACATATTAAGATCAAGGATAAAGATATTTTTGGTTATCAAAGATGTGGGTTGGGATAATGGTGTATTAATATTTGTATTACAAGCTCGAACGCGGTTAGTCATCACGTTCAACCCGTCGCACACACAGTTTTCCGAAGAACTCGCTCACATACATACAAAATCATTTCTTCCTGCGTGTGATATTCGATTAAATGAGATCATGTTCTGAATAATCAATCGGACAAACTTCAGATAGAAAAGGTGAAGCATTCGGCATTATGTCTTACCACGTTAGTGTGACCATGTAGCTTTAGTTGTGGCTTAGACCTCGATACTTGATTGGTTGCTGTTGACTCCTTAAAACCTCGTCGTTGTTTGTGCACCTTTGGGTTTTGATTGCATCTTCCTTTTGATTTGTGGTATTGTTGATCAACTATGTCAGCCTATCATTTATTCTGAGTGTTTGTGATAAATTGGTCAATGTCGTTGGTTTTGTTGTTACTTGATGACTTGCTTGTCAAGCTTCTAAAAATTCTCTGGTGGTTTCTTTGTCCTCACCCCTATACTAGTATTCAACACTGTCCCACATCGAATGTTAAATGTCCATTAATTGATTCCTGTCTAGTTATCTAAGGGAAGAGTTTGAAGTGGCGTTTTAATGTGCATCTTGGTGTTCACTTATACGGAAGCTGTAGAAGCAGTCCGATGCTTCAGTCCTGTTGATTGGGTACTGAAATGGGGGTGTGGGTGAGTGGGGGAGGGAGAGTTTTGGTGTTTACAAGGTACTGCAGGGCAGGAAAAGTATTGGCGATACTTAGGTTGGTACTAAGAGAATGAATAGGGAATTATGGAAGGTGTTTTTGGGCGTTGGCCTGGTTAGTATCAGAGGGATTTATGTCACTGTTGATGAGCTAATGAAAGCGCAAAGTCGGATTGAATGTGAGCTTTGATTCAATGGTTTGAGAGGATTGGAGTGGTGCCAGCAAGAAACGAAAACTATTTCCAAATAAGGTAGTTTTTCAAGTTAGGGTGTCAGTTGTTGTGAAGATGGGCTGCAAGCAAGGAATATGTGTCGCGTGTTAGGTAATTGCAGTGGTGTAACAGGTAGGTAGGGCAGGGAGGGATAGGGTAAAGTCGCTTTAGATAAGGAGGGGAAATTGGGGGGTTCTGGGGGGCTAGGGATGGGGGTAAAAGAAAAGGGGGAGCGGTGAAGGGAGGAATGGAGTGACAGGGGTGTATTGCGAGTGGGGGGAGGCTTGTGTTTTACGATTGCGAGTTGATGTGTTTCTGGGGAAGTGAAGTGGTTTTGCCAGTGGATAGACACAGTGAGTCACGTGACTCTCTATCACGTTGTGCAACAAACCACCAATACGGAGTGAGTTGTCGTGTGGAGGAGGGAAGTAAAAGAGATAGATTCCAACGTTTCATCACATGTTTCTATCACCCTACTGGCAACGTGTCATTCAAGTGGAAAGTGACGGAAATCAACGTGTCGATGTGCGGATGGCCAAAAAGAATGCCGGACGGGTGGGGGGAAGTGACGAAATCAAGTAAGAGCAAGATAACCAAAAACGGGAGATCATAGTCCTAGACCACGATAGGAGTGGATACATGCGACGAGAGGAGTACATATCGGAGCATACAACACGACTAATGAAACCATTTGGAATAGGTGTGGCACACAAACCAACAGAATCACTTCAATCAATCCGATGTAGATCAAAGGACAAAATGACAAAGGAAGAAAAACCAAATATCATCTACAAAATAAATTGTGCAGACTGTAAAAAACAGTACATAGGACGAAGTGGACTGCTTCTACAGCTTCGTCTACGTGAACACCAATTAGCAATTAAACGCCACTTCAACTCTTCCCTTATATAAATAGACAGGAACAATTATGGACATACATTCGATTGGGACAGTGTGGAAATACTGAATAGGGGGAGGACAAAGAACACCAGAGAATTTTTAGAAGCTTGACACTCAAGTCAATCAGTAATCAACAAACACAACGACATTGACCCAATTTATCAACCACTCAGAAAAATGATAGGTGACATAGGATCAAAAACAAATCAAAAGGAAGATGCAATCAAAACAAAGGTGCAAACAACGACAGGTTTAAGGTCAACAGCAACCAATCAAGATCGAGGTTAGCACAACAAGCTACAGGTCAAACGTGGAGAAATTCGAATGCTTCACTTCTATCTGAAGTTTGTTCCGATTGATATTCAGAAATGATCTCATTTTAATCTGAATATCAACGCAGGAAGAAATGATTTTCGTATGTATGTTGAGCGAGTTCTTCGAAAACTGTGTGTGCGACGGTTGAAGTGATGACTAACGCGTTCGAGCTTGAATACAAATATTAACACCATTATCCCATAACATTCTTTGATAACAAAATAATTTATTTGTTTAATATGTAACCGATGGTTGGATACTTTGAATGAAATGGCTTAAAATCGTTTGCAATGGCACTGGTGCATCTACTCTTTGTTTTCCCCAGAATTCTAAGCGGAATTCCCTACGACCATCTTACTCTTGCATTACGAGGTTGTTGTGAAGATTGTGACTAGCTTCGTAAGGAATCTCCGAGTTCTAGTGGGAGGACGTGACCAGTGAGGTGCAACCTGTTCGGGTGTAGACAGTAACTACCGAAGACTGTGTATGAGCTTGCGCAACTCCGTGAATTGATCAAGTTAGACATTAACACCGTCATATACAGGCTCAGTGATTTTAATCGACAATCGCATCTTTGTTCCGTCGTAGTATGGCAACTTGAACTGGTGTACATACATGAGGACTATGTTCTATGTTATCGCCGATTGACTGACTGACTGACTCATATAACAAATAACCCAATAGTTTTATTTTCAATTTAAAAAAAAAACAAAACATCATTTTTAAAACAACAAAAAACATTTTCAATTTTCAATTTACTTTTTCAGTTTTCAATTTTGGCACTCCATTATCTGCTACCTGGATGATTATTTCATGTATACCAAGTTCATTGTGTAATAAATTTCTAATCAGTATAACTTGTCCATTTGTTGAATCTATTTGTAAAGCATCATTCAGCATAGTTGTATGTCGTTCATTTAATTCTAGGTTATTATTATTATTATTATTATTATTATTATTATTATTATTACTTGAATATTGATCGATTATACGATAGTGTAATTGTGCATTTCTGCCTTCATCTGCATCAATTGCTTTTACAATGAATACACAATAACCTGGTTCTTCATTGATTGAGAATGGTATTACAGATTGCTGTGACAGATTTGATTGTTGTTTGTTTACAGTAATAAAATCAATGGAAGATGAATTGACTGTCATTATTGATTGATTCAGTAATGTTCTATTCATATCTTCTGTGTGCAGAGAGAGAGGAAGAATGAACCATACAACACAACAGAATAAAACAATGAACACTAGTAGTAGTAGTATAAGTAGTAGTGTTGTGTGTGCTACTTATGCAAACGATATAAGTAGTATAAGAAGGGACGTGAAAGAAGAAGTCTCACGTTCACAAGAGGAAAACGGAAAGCAAATGGAGCAAAAGCAAGAAGTAAATGGTGTACCAACAGGAATTAAAGGAAGCAACAACAGGAATAGAAGAAGGATGGAGCGTTGGAAGTCAAGACTCAAAGATGGTGTGCAAATAGAGTATTCAATGTAATGTTTTCGTTTTTAACTAACTCAAGGATGGCGACCCACTCGTGCTGGCTGTGGATCTGACAAGATTGCTCCGCCGTGGTCTGCCGAATTTGGATGAGCAGTCGCAATTCATTGAAAGTGTGCCTGCAGATGTTGCTCAACAGTTGAGACTGGTGAACGCGGCACAACCAATGGACGTCATCGAGCTGGCTAAAGTAACAAGACAGCTGATGAACTCAACAGTCACCTCGGTATCGTGTGAGAGACAGGCTGATGATGTCACGAAGAAGATAGAAGAATTACAATGCGAGGTGGTAGCGTTGCGAATAAAGGGTGTAACAAATAATAAATGCTATATTTGCGGAGGAACCGGGCATTGGAAGAGGAATTGCCCAACAAAACGAAAACTACATTGAATACTCTATTTGCACACCATCTTTGAGTCTTGACTTCCAACGCTCCATCCTTCTTTCATTCCTGTTGTTGCTTCCTTCCCTTCCGGTTGGTACTCCATTCATTTCTTTTCCCTCTTCTGACCGTGAGACTTCTTCTTTCACGTCCCTTCTTATACTACTTATATCGTTCGTGTAAGTAGCACACACCACAGTAGTAGTAGTAGTAGGCTACATGTTTTTGTAAAACATACACAATCCTAACAGGGTTGTTGTAGCAAAAAAAATAAAACCCCGTATGACATTAATACACATGACAGAATTAAAAAAGGCAATATCAAATATCGTACATTTATAAACTTGTTTTAAATAAATCAACTGGAATATAATGAATATATGCTTGTTAAAAAGAGGAAATAACTTTTTCTAAAATATATATATATATATGAATGAATACATATACAATAGATAGATTTAAAGTACATGAATTGAAAAGCGTTTCATGCCTAGCAATGTTTGTTGCATGGTATAATACATAATTAGATGGGATGTGAAAGTCAACTAAAGTTATGCTTATTACGAATAGTTAAATATCAATGACACATTTTTGATTTCTCTACGCATCTAGATTAGATAATTCAATAGAGATTTTTTTTCAATTTGTATATATCAACTTGTCAGAAATCGTGGATGCGTACTGTCGTTGATGAGTCCTCATTGTAGGATCCAATATGAGCTTTGGACTCAGCAATAATTGTCTAGGTATTTTAAATACACGCCTAGCCCAGTTGAAACCAACATGGGTGATTAGGCAAATAACGGTTCTAACATTCATCATAAATATAAATACACGTCACTACCTAAACAAATATTGCCATTCACTTATTCCACCAACAATCGTTCAATTCATTAAATCAACAGCAACAGATAACTGATTTTCTATCCATCCTGGATAGATCAGATTCCTTCGAAAGTTAACATTTAGTTGCTTTATAACACAGAGTGTTTCCTGTTCTAGAAGAAAGCTTCAATTCACAATTAAAATGTACATTTCCAGTCATTGCAACCGCTCCAACCAACAGAGGAACAAATCACTATGGCTGTCGCCATGACAAAGTATCAGCTTAAACAACATCAATGCGGTTCAGAAAGAAACATAGGAACTCGGTGAAGGCAAACGAAATAGAAACTATTATTAAATACAAAGATTATCATCTCAAACGGAATCGAACATGCTAACAAAATGTACGGCGGAAAGGATCAATACGGACAAATTACAAATGTATATATATGGAGGGATTTTCACAAACAAAGCCTTCAAAAATCGGATCTTACACCCATACTCGGACAAAACAATCGTGTCCAGTGATTCAAGGTTTCTACTGGTTAGCTAACGATGATTCTGTTACGCCTACATGTAAACACGTCAACTTGATATGCTTGAGCAATTACGAGTTTACCTAGTCGGAAAACGAGAGCGAGGATCGAGGATCCGGCGACACGACCTGCTACTCAATTCCGATTAGCCCAACCCCCATATTGAGAAAAAGAAGACAAGACTTGATATGAAGTAGAACCTGTTCTCGAATAATTCAGGTCTCAAAGGATCAATGTGATCTCATCCCCATCGCCAAAGATTCATTCATGATTAAAATGGGTAAAATAAAAACATAACGATCTCTATAACAATTTAATACAAAAATATACTACTGAATTGATAATTAAGTAGAATAAACAGGAGGAAAAACGTGAGGACTAGTCATTTCTTTGAACAATTAGTAAACAAAGTATATTCTTGACTAACCATAATATTCTCCTTTAATCTCCAAAATCTCTGGTTTATTATCATTTAAATCAATTACACGTACACAAATTGTATCGACTGTGGAATGAATTTTCTCTTGACCATTATCCGATGCAATCACTTCAAAACAATAATGAGACTAATTCAATAAAAAACAAAAAGCCGATAAAAGTAGTATATTTATTCCGATGATAAAAGTAGTATGATGGATAAAAACAAAATAAATGGTTAGTTAAATGAAACATGTTTGAATATTATCCAGCATAGATTACATACAGAAAAAATTAAACTATCATAAATAATACACTTTAAGCTGCAATCATATGTTTTCCTACAGTAACCAGCTTCTGCAGAGTCACATTTACACTAAGTTATTCTGCTTTTTACTGGAAATATGAGTCAGTCATTGTTAGGACAACATAAGAAACCTGGAAGCACTAGTATGAGACTCATCAGCAGTGCACATCCACAACATCTGCAAATCGCAGGATTCAAACCACAGACCTTCGATCTTGCGCGTGATCGCCTAACCTATGGGCTGGTATCAAACGGTGTTGATGTTTAATTTTCGTCAATCTGTAGATTTTTATGAGCGAACCCACCTTACAGTGTAGCTGATCTCCATTGGTCACGTCTTCTCACTAGAACTCTGAGAATTTCCTCACGAAGATAGTCACTGGTCTCTTTTTGGTTTATCCAATAGGAGTTGTGAAGAAGGTGACTGGAAATTCTGGATCTACGTTTATGTTAGCTGATATGGTGTATTTGTAAATTTTAGGGAAAATTCCAAAGAAATAAAAAAGCATAGCTCAATTTCATGGTCTGTGATGCTATCAACAACCTATTCAACTTGTTACCGGTTGCCTGCAGTGGTGTCGACATTATAACTTAATAGTTAGACTTTTATCAGCAGTACGAACCAGGCCGATTTTACGATGGGAAACACTGAGTCATCTAAACGTTTTGAGATTTAGCTCCACTGAATGATTCCGGTTACAGATTTTATTAGTAGTAAAATAGTTATAACTTTTGGTGATATCCCAATGAATAAAGTCGTGCATTTCTGAAGTGTTTCATGACAATCTTTCAAGTCACTGCTTCACAGTAAATAAATATTCCTAATTTGAGAAATTGTCACTGTACTTCACAAGTATCAATCCTAACTAATCATTTGTTCAATTTTAAACCGAGCATCTCGTTTGAAAGTTGCGGTCTACATGTTTAGAAGTGTTTATAACATAATATATAACTAATTATCCTGAAACACCTGGAATATACTACTTCTGTATGAAGTTTATGCTGATGATATTGTTCAGAAGAACAATGAAATCTCCACAACCTAAACATCCACTTCAGAGAGTGAAACTCCAACACACAATACATTTACACAAGAAGTGAAATGACGGTGAGGTGTGCCGATTTAATGCGTGTTCTTACGTTTCGTGATAAGCTCGTTCAGACTACCTTATCCAATTGACGTCTGACGGTTAATAAATCAGAAGATGAATTCCAAGTAGCGTATACGTTTATTGAAGCACACCACAATTAATAACAGCAGACCACAGACAGACCGGGCAGACAGACTAGCTAGCGAATATGCGAATGTGCGAATGTGCGAATGAATTAATAAGATAAAAATGTTCGTATATATACAAAGGAAAATGTCTGAGTCATCGTGTTATTTAAGAGATTAATATTAAAGCGAATAGGATGCATATATGCGTAGGCGTTAAGCAATGCTCAGTCATACTAGCTCATACAAACCAGATAATAAAAAATACCAATTGTACATACAAGTTGTTGCTAAGCGAATGGCTTGGTTAAATAAATTAATCGAAAGGCTTAACCAAGTTAGATGTGAGAGAAGTGAAATATATGTGGAGGCACTACAATAGCCCCCTTCCAGCAAACAAGGTTACGAAAATGTCTTTGTTTGCGAGAAAAAAAAATCAAAATTGTCGGAAAACATCAAAAGTTTCGGAAGTTAAAGTTACTCTATTCGCATACGTTCGTGAGGTCGCAAAGGAATAGAAGATCAAACAAAAGCATAGTAATGTTTTAAGGCTAACATCTCAATTTCGAAATACACTAAATGTATCGAAGGCAATAATAGATAAATGAGAATTTTCGACGTACAAATGCGAAGCAAAAAAAAATGTGTTCGAAATGGTGAGAAGAATTATCAGTTCAAAAATGTAGCTATATATCTTTGCGGCCACCTGACTCTTCGTCCATATCTGGTCGTTGGTGGGTTTCCTTCTGTTTTCTGTGTTGCTGCTTCAGAGGGTTTAAGCTCGCATTTCGGTGATTCAATGGCTTTCGATGGGTTTGCGTTTATTGGCTGTTCTTCGCCTTCGACGAAAGCTGGTTTGACTCTGTCGATGCTAACTACATCCGTTTTTCCAGCTTTATCTACGGTGATAGTTTTATCGGTTCTGTCGATAACTTTGAATGGACCATCGTAGGTTGGTTGTAAGGGACGTCGCACAAAATCTCTCCTGATAAATACATAGGAGGTATCGCTTAGTTGCTTCGGAATATATACTCGATGTTGATTCTCCTGCGGAAGCGTTATTCTTAGATCGCTCATGTGGTCTTTTAGACGACGTACGTAGTTAGTTATATCAGTTGGAACAAGCTTACCTGAGATGAACAACTCTCCTGGTAGACGTAGGGTAGTTCCGTAAACTAACTCTGCAGGGCAACATCCTATGTCTCTTTTAACCGTCGATCTTAAACTCAACATGACTAATGGAAGCTTGTTGGCCCAGTCATTGTTGTTAATAACAGCTGTAAGAGATGCTTTTAGTTGTCGATGTAATCTCTCTACCATACCATTTGCCATCGGGTGGTAGGAGGTTGTGCGTATACGTTTAATGCCGAGGAGCTCTGTGAGTTGTTGAAAGAGGCGACTTTCAAATTGGGCTCCTCTATCGGTTGTGATATGAGCAGGGACTCCATAGTATGAGATCCAATGTTCGACTAAGGTTTTAGCTATGGTCTCTGCTGAAATATCTTTTATGGGCACCGCTACAGGCCATCGCGTGAATCTGTCTATGCAGGTAAAAATATAACTGAAGCCATTCGAAATCGGCAGTGGTCCCACAATATCGATATGTATGTGCTCGAATCGGCTGTCTGGGTGACGGAATGGACCTACTGCGGAACTTGTGTGACGATGAACTTTAACTTTCTGGCATTTAATACATGCCTGTGTCCAGTTGCGAACATCTCGGTTCATATTTGGCCATACGAAACGGTCGCTGATCAGATTGATCGTCGCCTTAATTCCAGGATGTGATATATTATGCATAGTTTCGAAAACTTTTCGTCTATATGGCTTCGGAATAAACGGTCGTGGTCTGCCTGTAGAAATATCACAGATTATGTTCACTTTGCCGAACGGAGTTTCTCGGAGTACTAAAGAAGTTGTATTGGATGATCTTAGTCTATTTAGCTCAGCGTCCATATTTTGCAACGCTGCTAGTTTATGATAATCAATGTCGGTTTGGATGAGAGCGTTAATCATTGCTCTTGATAATCCATCTGTTTCTTCGTTACTTTGGACTTTTGAGACCACTAAATTCATCGAAACGTGTTCGGTGATTATTCCTCTTATCACCAATGAACGGTCTCTGCTCAAAATCTGGTTTCGTCGCGAATCTACTATTAGGTCGAAATTCTTTAAGAAATCAATACCGATTATAGGTACGGATACGTCTGCTATCACAAATTCCCATCGAAGTGAAATGTTTCGACCGAAATCTAAAGTTATTTTTCGCTTTCCGTATGTTTTTATGTCGGATTTGTTTGCTGCTTTCAACGTCAGCGCCGTATTAACATTTCGTCGTTCATTACTAACGGGCGGCACAACACTTATTTCTGCTCCTGTGTCGACTAAGAATTGAGCACCAGTTGTCTTGTCCTGGACGTAAAATAGACGACTGTTTTTAGGAGCTACGTCAGTTGTTGCAGCAGTTACCGACGATCGACGGGATCGTTTCCCTATTGTATTAGCTTTAAATGTGCATGGCAGTCTACATTTCCGAGCTCTTCTGCCGTACGTCTGGTGATACCAACATATCGTGGGAGCAGATCGTTCCCTAGAGCGTGATCGGTTTTTGTCACTCGAAATAATTCGTGACCATCTTTGTGGTCTGTCATTCCGAGTCAGGTTCGTCAGCTTTTGGCGTAAAATATTAATCATTCTTTTTAACTCTTCGATTTCGGAATTAGCCGAGGTGTGTTGTATTTGTGGGCTCGGTATTCTGGATCTTTCCTGAATCCTATCGGCTATCTCTGCTATATGATCTATGTCGACATCAGCATCTCCGAATGCAAGGATCTGCTGAATATTTTGGGGAAGTCGCCGGAGCCACAGCTGATAAAAGATGCTACTATCTATTTTCCTGTCTCCGATTATGCTTCTCATATAATTTTTTAGCTGTGATGGAGTTCTGTCACCTAGTTCGACTTGGTTGAGAAGTCGGTCTAAGGCCTGTTGGTCGCTTAGCGAGACGGCCTTTATCACAGCCGCTTTCAACACGTCGTACGGAGCTTCTGAGTCTGGCTTGGCGAGAACGTCGCGTACCGCGTCAGCTACTTCGTTCGGGAGCAATGCACATGCATGGCCGAATTTGTCGCGTTGTAAGCTAATACGGTTAACTGCGAAGTAACTTTCGAGTCTCATAAACCAAAGTTGTGGGTCGGCAACACTAAATGGAGGAATAGTAATATTAAGGGACCTCACGGACGCCACTTGTGGCAGACTTGTTTCGTTAACTGAAGACATGTTAATGTACAATTTATAGTACGCGAATAAATTAAAAAAAATAAGGGGATGAAATTAGATGGACGATAATAATGTTAACAACAATTAATAAAAGGTTATAACACGGAACAGACTTACTAAAATGCAGCAGTAAAACAGTTTTATGTATAATGACGTAATTCGTAATTGTTAATATTGTCAAAATATGTCAAATAATGTTTATGAAATAATTGTCATGCAATAACGATATGATAATGATAATAATCCAAAATGTTAATTTAATCCACAATAGTAATTCGTATCGAAATAGTTATTGTCAGTGATATTGCGGACGCGTTCGATTTGTGGTCGTAGTTTTTGGTCTGTCGTCGATATCAGCAAATTATTCCTGGGAGCGTCGAGGTTACCAATTTTGTTGGAAGCGTCGATTTTTTGTCAGTATCCGTAAATATCCTGAGAACGTCGGGATTACCAGTTGGTGATTCTGTTCGATTTGTCCTCGAAATTACCAACTGGTTGGTTATATTCGATTTGTCATCGGAATCGTCGAATTATTACTGGAAACGTTGGGCTTACCAGTTGAGGTGTGCCGATTTAATGCGTGTTCTTACGTTTCGTGATAAGCTCGTTCAGACTACCTTATCCAATTGACGTCTGACGGTTAATAAATCAGAAGATGAATTCCAAGTAGCGTATACGTTTATTGAAGCACACCACAATTAATAATAGCAGACCACAGACAGACCGGGCAGACAGACTAGCTAGCGAATATGCGAATGTGCGAATGTGCGAATGAATTAATAAGATAAAAATGTTCGTATATATACAAAGGAAAATGTCTGAGTCATCGTGTTATTTAAGAGATTAATATTAAAGCGAATAGGATGCATATATGCGTAGGCGTTAAGCAATGCTCAGTCATACTAGCTCATACAAACCAGATAATAAAAAATACCAATTGTACATACAAGTTGTTGCTAAGCGAATGGCTTGGTTAAATAAATTAATCGAAAGGCTTAACCAAGTTAGATGTGAGAGAAGTGAAATATATGTGGAGGCACTACAACGGAATAAGTATTCAGATGAGAGCAATAATAATGTGTTAATGTAAATATTCAATGCAAGGTATGAACTGAGTAAGAAATAGTTAAAATAAGATGATTTCTGCCTAAACTAACTCCACCCGGATCCCTTCTAGGAGTGTTACCGGTCTCGAGCCCGGATAAAGGAGGAGGGTTTGGCACGGTAGTAGCGACCCCATACTATAGAAATATAACTCGCTAAAAATAAGGACTCTAACCAGAAAAAATAATTTCCTGGTCGGTAGCCAATGCTTTATTGAGCGCAACAGGTGTAAGTAAGTAAGTAAGTAAGGTACATAAACTATTTCTATGCTAAAGATTTCAGTAATAATAACGGTAGCAATAATAACGACATCAATATTATATGATAATTACAGCATTATTTTCGGGCAGAGTTTTGGAGGTTTTGTGTTTTTACACATTCGAAATCATCAATCAATCATTGTTAGACCACCATTAGAAACCTGGAAGCACTGGATGGCCGTTTTTTCCTGGTATGGGACTCATCAGTAGCAGTGCGCATCCACGACTCCTGCACCTCACAGGATTCGGACCCGAGACCTTCGGTATTGTGCGCGAACGCCTAATGATCGAACCAGTGGCCCGGCATCCAACGGTGTTGATGTCTAACTCTGATTGATCTACGGATTTTCGCGCAACCTCACCGATTTGTCTTTGGTAGTTACTGCCTACACCCAACAGGGTTGAACTCCATTAGTCACGTCTTCTCAACTACAACTCCGAGAATTTTCTCATGAATCTAGTCACTAGTGAGCACTGTTACGATATTTTTGGGCAGAGTTTACGAGGTTTTCTGTTTTTACACATTTGATATCATCAATCGTGCAAGGTGCAGGAGTCGTGGATGCGCACTGCTGATGAGTCCCATACCAGGACGAAACGGCCGTCCAGTGCTTCCAGGTTTCTAATGCTGGTCTAACATTGATCGATTCATGGTTTCAAAGGAAATATTAAAATCTAAAATATCCCACTTACTTGAATTTCTCTATCTAACGATCGCCTTGTAAATAAACTCCCATTAGTCAATAAATAAAATGGGAAATTATCATCCATCATCATGGAATCATCATCATCATCATCATCATTTGTCTTATTCAATTTCGGTTTCAATGTCATCGTTTCACTTATCAATAATGCATTGGAATGTCCGATAAATAATTCAAATGTTATTTCACTATTGAAACCTTCATCACGATCAATGACTTGTAAATTACCAATCCATGTATTCACTGGTTGATTTTCTTCAATAGCAAATTGTCTTGGACCATGAAATTCCGGGGGATTATCATTTTCATCCGATATATGTATGATTAATTGTGTTGTCGTTGTATGATGTATAGTTTGATGATTTGATGTTAAATAGAATTGACCGGTGAATGTTTGATAATCACCATCGATTGCTAAAACTGTTAACTGTGAAAAACAAACATATGTAAGTTAATTTTATGCATAGTAGAAATGTTGCTGTAAATGAATATAAATATATATTAAGAATCTTTAGAATAAAAACATTCAGTAATCATGTTCATTTGTATTGGTTGTACGAATCTGGCAAATGATTGTGCCGACTTAGATTGATCAGTCTCTTGATCATTGTGTTACAGATTGCTTCGTGGTTGCCTGTTGGCTTTGTGACCTTATTAAGAGAGGTTGACACAATAGAGTGTAGTGCCTCCAAATATATTCCAGTTCTGACTTTTTGGGGGCACAGTTTTGGAGGTTTGCGTTTTTACACATTTGAAATCATCAATCAATCATTGTTAGACCACCATTAGAAACCTGGAAGAAGCACTGGACAGCCGTTTCGTCCTGGTATGGGACTCATCAGCACTGCGCATCCACGACTCCTGGAACTCGCACGATTCGAACTCGAGGCATTTGGCATTGTAGTCGAACGCCTTACCATCGGACCACTGAGCCGTTCGCTTATATTTAACTTGGTTAAGCCCTTTCGATTAAGTTATTTAACCAGGCCATTGGCTTAACGATAACCTATATGTACCATTCGTTCTTATATTATTGTCTGGTTTGTATGAGCTCACTTGACTTGTTCCACTTGTCATTTGACCTTGTCAATCATTCGTCACTTTTATTCCTATGTGTGCATGCCTATCTCGTTGGTCACATGTTCGTCTTATTTTTGTCTGACAACATATTCTTAGTCATGCTTTATCCCCTTGGCGTTGGCTCGACAGCCTTCTCCAGTTCACGTTACTTCTTTCGTTTTATTCGCTGCTTCTCCACTTCACTTTGTGGTGTGTCCCAAATAAACGTATTCATCACTACGAGTTCACCTTCTGATTTATAAATCGTCAGACGCTAGTTAGTAACGACTGTCTAGATGAGCTAATTACCGAGCTTGAGAACACGCAGTAAATTGGCCACCACAAGAGAAGTGTTTAACGTGATAGCATTTGAAGCCGTCTGTACTGGGTTCGAGTCCCGGGTTGAATATGAACTCTGAGATGCATGTACATCCAACGGAAGCGTTCGAAATCGGACGGAATGGGCATCCTGGATTCCATCGCTAGCCATTACCCAACACTGTTAGTATTCATATTTATTTATTTCAAGATAAAAATATGGTCAGATTTAAATAAGATTGAATGATACACTGTCAAGTCATATTAAAACTGTCTATCATTTCAATTTCATTTAGCACTACAGAAGTTAAACTGATCGAAAATGAAATACAAGATGTGCATTTCATCCCATTTGAGATTCGTCGGCTGGATGTGCTTACATCTCAAATTGGACGGAATCGCTTAATATTCCCTATTGTAGTTATGTAACCTGTAGTGTGTGTGTGTGTACAAATATGTAGAGCTCATATAGCTTGTCCTAGTGTTTCGGACAAACTATTAACTTTTTCTTCGCGAGCTACTATTCACTCATCGTTTGACATATCTAGCTTATTTCTGTCTGACTATGAATACTACGTCATGCCTCATCACATGGGCGATGGCTCATTTGCAATCTCCATTTCGCTTTACTTGCCCGTTATTCATTGTCATGTCTGCCTGTTTGAAGGATTTCATGAAATAAACTAATCCAAATGAATCTGTATTCTGCTTCTCATTACCACAGTCGCACAAACGGGGTTCACCTGAGTACGAGAAACGGAAATGAAACAGATTTATTTTATAGCACAAACAGATCTTCGTCCGAATTGGAGCCAAATCGCTGGCCACTGACGTAGTGAGCCCTACTCTGAATTCGAGACAGCGCCCCAAAACATTACAATCGTTTGTAATTACTGTTCACTGACTAAAGGACGAGTGTACTGCGCAGTAGTCCGCTCCGTCTCACTTTATGGCTGTGAAACATGGCCAGTGAGAGTAGAAGATATTCGTCGGTCATTGGTTTTCGATCATAGGTGTCTTCGAAGCATTGCTTGTATATCGTGGGACACCCGAGTGAGCAACGCTGTTATTAGGAAACGGGTGCTAGGTAAGAATGGCAGATCAATAGATGAAGGGGTGAAACTTCATATGTTGAGGTGGTTGGTACATGTGTTGCGTATGCCCAACCACCGACTGCCTACAAGAGCTTTGTTTTGTAGTGTGGGAATAGGTTGGAAGAAAGTTAGGGGTGGCCAAACCAAAACATAGCAGAAATCCATGAAGTCACTGACGAGTGGACTTAGCCATGTCGATAGTTGTCGACTCCCTGGTTGGGGTCCGCGAGATGATAATAATCGATGGTTAGAGACCTTGAATGACATGGCTCAAAATCGTTCGCAATGGCACCGGTGCATTTATTCTTTGTGTTATCTCAAATCCTAATCTTCTGGATTCTTCAACACCTCTAGTTTTGACTTTCTAAACTTATCTCACTGAATCATACTTCTTGAATAATATCTTCTCATCCTAACCTCTCCGATTACCTCTAATACCTTTACTACCTCTTCTACTATTGGATTTGGATTGAAAATTATTTCTTTGCTGATGTGGTATGGCAACATGAACTGATATACTTACGTACGGAGTTCTACGTTGCATCTGACTGACTGACTGCTCAGTGCACATTGTTCATACTATTTAGTGTTCTTCTTCAATATATCAATAAATAATAATCTTAGTTAGGTATAATGATTTGTCTTGCTTCTATTTTCTTTGTTCAATGTTTCTAAGTATTCGTTATGTTATCAATAACTAAATTTCAATAATAAATTCATTTCATTCAGTATATAGTTTGATCTTCCATCATTGAAACATATAAATATTTACATTACGGGGTTGTGAAGAATGTTAAGTTACACAATTATGATCAAGTTCGACATTAACACCGTTAGATACCACCGGCTCACTGGCTAGACGTTCGCGCACAATACCGGAGGTCCTTGGTTCATATCCTGTGAGGTGCAGGAGTCATGGATGCGCACTGTCGCTGATGAGTACCATACCAGGACGAAACGGCCGTGCAGCGATTCCAGGTTTCTAATGGTGGTCTATCATTGATTGATTCATGGTTTCAAAAATATGAATATTTGTGAAACAATTCAGGTCAACTATTTTATTCATAACTAGAATTTATTACCTCATTAATATAATTCAGTATAGGATTAATGTTAATGATATCAGTCATTGAAAACATATCTTTCTAGGTTTTAATTACTATTTTATCAAAATTAAATCTTACTTACTTACCTAGTTACGCCTGTTAACTGAACAAAGGCTGCCCACCACCATTCACCAACCTACTCTGTCCTGAGCATCCTTTTCCACTTCTGTTCACTCGTCGTTCATTCTTCTCATACCCGTCACCATTTCTCGATTTATTGTGTTCCTTGGCCTTGTGCTTTTCCTGTGTCCTTGAAGATGCCAAGTAAGGGGTTGTTTTGTGGTGCGGTTGGGTGTTTTTCTCAATGTATGTCCTATCCACTTCCACCGCTTCTTCCCGATTTGTTCCTCTGCCGGAATCTCGTTTGTATTCTCTGAAAGTAGGTTTTGCTGACGGTGCCTAGTCAACGAATCCTCGGGATTTCGCGTAGACAACTGTTCATAAATATTTGTATCTTCAGGATGATGGATTTCTTAATTTCCCAAGTTTCCGTTCCATACAGTACAACTGTCTTGAGATTTGTATTCAAAATTCTGAATTTTGGTGTTTGACGATAGTTGCTCTGAGTGCCAGATATTGTTCAATTATAGAAATTCAGCCTTTGCTTTCCTATCTGCGCTTTCACATCTGCATCAGATTCACCGTTCACGACACTGATGCAGTCCAGAGGTGTAAAAGATTTTACAACTTCCAAATCTTCCACGTCAGGTGTTGCGTGTTGTGTTTAATCGGAGAATCTTGCTTTTCCATGTGTGCATGCTGAGACCTGCTACTGCTGAGGCTACTGCTATACTGGTCGTCTTCTCCTTCATTCGATGTTGCGTGTGTGACAAAAGATCCAGATCATTTGAGATGTCTATATGCTAGCTGTCCACTGCATCGCGTGCTTTCCTTCAGATGTTGACATCTTCATAATCCAGTTGATCACTCGGATAAAGAGAAAGCGCGATAGTAAGCATCCTTGTCTGACACCGATCTTTTCTTCGAAGGAGTCTGTCAGCTAACCTCAACCAATCACATAACTAATCCTGCAAAAGTTAATGACTTTCGAGGCAACCTTAGTGAGATGCTGATTATTTGTTGTTCAGTATGTACATTAGTCGTTGATAAAATGCTTTTTCTCATTGCCTCAATATTGATCAACTTATATAAGCCTATGTGCATATCACTTACTATTACTGTCAATTTACAATGAAAATAAATATCAACCAAATAACAATGAATAGCTTACTTTAGATGTTGCCTGTGCTTCACGATCTATTTCAGCTGAATTAAAAATCCAACCAGTTATTGGATCGATTTTAAAATAAGGCGTATTCAATTCATTCTGTTGTAAACTGTAGTAAATTTGTGCATTTATACCAACATCTTTATCTGTTGCATGCATCTAATCATTGAAAAGAAAATAGTTAATTAGTTTGTTTAATATCTCTTGTCTAAATAAGTAGTAAGTTAAAAATGTTTTCTCCTTCTTGATGTATAAATATTTATATACCGCAATGGAAGGGGTTGCATAGTGTCATCAGTTTATATTTAGGGTACAGTATATTTGATTAAGCAAGTTGTTGTGTCTGAATTCTTTTTGAACGTAAGATCCACTGACGAAATGTCCATCACGGAGTTGTGAAGATTGTTAAGTTTTTTTGAGACCATGAATCGATCAATGTTAGACCACCGTTATAAACCGGGAAGCACTGCACGACCGTTTCGTCCTGGTATGGGACTCTTCACGACTACTGCACCTGCAGGATTCGAACCCAGGACGTTCGGTATTGTAGGCAAACGCCTAATCATCGGACCACTGAGCCGGTACCTAACGGTGTTAATGTCTAACTTGATCAACTCACGGAGTTGCGCAACCTCATACACAGTCTTCGGTAGTTACTGTCTACACATGAACAGGTTGGATGCGCACTGCTGAGGAGTCCCATACCAGGACGAAACGACAGTCCAGTGCTTCCAGGTTTCTAATGGTGGTCTAACATTGATCGATTCATGGTTTCAAAAGAAATATTCTTCCTTTGTTAGGATGGAGACATTTGATACAAGTGATTTAGATTGACATCGATCTGGGGCGAATAATTATGAATGACGTTTGAGTGATGTTCAACTGACCTTGAGATTATTTATCTCACTACTAGTGTTAAGAGAGGGTTATGAATCAGTGTAAGGGAATCAAGTATAGGATTCAGAGCTGAATACAAGCATTATTCATTAGAGAGAGTTTTAATCACAAACTTGATATTAGCTGTGACGCTAAAATGTTAGTGAACCAGATGGATGGGAAAAATGCAGAGCTAACATTCATAATTTGGGAGACTAAATGCTCTGGGTTCTATCCCACGGGCAAGGTTGTGGGTGTGTACTGCTGATGAATCCTGTACCAGGACGAACTAACTGTCCTGTGCTCCCAGATTTTTAATGCTGTTCTAACGATAATCGATAAATTAGATTGTCGCCTTGGGTTTTTTGAAATGTAGAGGTTCAAACCTTGTGTTAAAATACAAATTTTACCAACGCTGAACCCATCCTATGAATATAGATTTATTAATGAGAATGCTGTGATTAAACTTAACTCATTAATATTTATTTTTCATATATAAATACCTTAAGAAATAAATTTGTAATGTTTTTTGTTTAAACTAATTTTTTCTTGCTAACGCTTTTTTGGCAAGTTAATTTATAGGTAAGATGGGGTCGCCGACCCCATGTCCAACCCCTCCTCCTTTATCCGGGCTTGGGACCGGCAGTAGCCTCGAAAGGTTCTACTGGCGGAGTTTTCGTTTGAACCAAATCTCACTACTATTGTATCACAAAGTTTTGTCATTATTAAAATAAGCCTGATTAAATTGACTATTTTCATGTGAATAACACTAGTTACTCACTAGTTCATATATTATTATTTCATTGGGATCATGAATCGATCAATGTCCAACAACCATAAGAAACCTAGAATTACTGAACAGTCGTTTCATCCGAATTTATGACTCATTAGTAGTGCACATCCACAACCTCGCAAGCCGGAGTCGAAACTACGAATGTAGTCATGCTTTATCTCTTGGAGTTGGCTCACTAGCCTTCTCCACTCCACTTCGCTTTATTCGCCGATTCACTACTTCGCTTGCTTGCTTTACTGCACTCTGATAACGAGTTTATCTTTGAGTGCTTGTAGTTTGCTGATCTAATTGTGGTGTGCCAAAATAAGCGTATTCAACACTTCGAGTTCACTTTCTGATTTATAAACCGTCAGACGCTATTTAGTAAGGATTGTCCTAGACGAGCTAATTACGAAGCTTAAGAACACGTTGGATACTAACTGTCACGAAAACAGTGATATTTTGCACACTACATAAATTGTGAACCCGCCGTCGAAACTAACGCACTCCTTTTGGAAGAGTAATTAAACTTGGTTAAAAAACCGAAGGTCCTGGGTTCGAATCCTGCAGGGTGCAGGAGTCCTGGATGCGCACTGCTGATGAGTCCCACACGTGGACAAAAAGGCCGTGCAGCGCTTCCAGGTTTCTAATGGTGGTGTAACAATGATTGATTTACCATTTCAAAGTGAAAAAAACACTGATCTCCATAACTCTGATCGAAAAAAATGATAGATGAGTATTTAAATATTTAAACCTTTGATTTCGCTGTGATACTGCGATTGTCCATGTTCTTTTCTGTCACACTTAAATAATTTAATTTTATATTTCATTTTTTATTTATTAGAAAAAAAAAACACAAATAACGGTTGTATTTTTCTATTTTTTTGGTTTGAAAATTGAACGAAAATTGAACATGTTTTTTTGCGCAAATTTTAAATTGTTACAACACATTGTCTCTCTCTCGCGCGCTTGGTTTGTAGTTTATATTTATTGTAAAGAATACATTCATGCACATGAATCTTGAAAAAACAATACTCATGGGATGGATTTCAAGAAAATAGAAAACAATTTTCTCATTTGGCATATCAACACATTATTTATTTTTTATAGGTTTGTGATTAAGCTGTATTTCTGATAAATGATTAAAATATTTGCTGAATTCATAAAACATGTGGTGGTTTAATTTTGGCGCTTAATTTTTTTTTAAATTAGATTTTTTTTCAAAATGAATGAAAAATGCTTCAGAATGTCGTTGGTGTATCGGTTGATCAAGGATCTATGTAGGGTCTATTACTTACTTACCTACTTACGCCTGTTACCCTTAATGGAGCATAGGCCACCCACCAGTTTTCTCCAGTTAACTCTGTCCTGGGCTTTCTTCTCCAGTTCTGTCCAATGTTTGTTCAGTCCTCTGATATCGTTCTCTATTTCTCGGCGTAATGTGTTCCTTGGCCTTCCTCTTTTCCTTTTGCCTTGAGGGTTCCAGGTGAGGGCCTTGTCTCGTGCCTGTAGGGTCTATTGCATAGTATATTATGAATGTGTATGATACGTTAAATGGAAATTGAAAATTGAATACCATTGATTTCTAGAGTAAATCACCTTAAATTTATTTAATTTGATGATTATTGTTACGCATGCACGTAAACACGTCATTTTGATATGCTTGACCTATTACGAATTTGCCTTAGTTGGAAAACGAGAACGGGGATCGATGATCCGGTGACACGATAGGCTACTCTAATTCGATTATCCCAACCCTCATTGAATAAAAGAAGAAGACTTCTTATGAAGTAGAACCTGTATTCTATAATCATTCAGGAAGTACGAGGTCCGAGTCCAGAAGAGAATCAGGATCCCGAACTAATGATCCGGGTCATAAAATGTTACATATAATGTGTATTTATACATATTGGTAGAATATGAAAAAGCACTGAAGTTTATGACATTGACAGTTAAGAAGACTAATAGGAAGCATCATTTGAAGTGACGATGATAGACAGGACAACCAATAAGAAACAGCATTGTAGTACGTGACATTGATATCTAAGACGACCATAAAAGTGACCAGTAGGAATTAACCAACATGAATTGACCAATAATTCTCTTAGGATATTGGATGAATATCCTAAGTCTGTAAGTAAATGCAACTAGAATGTATTATGCATCGTGGAGTGGGGGAGATTGTTGAGCTACTTTTTGAAATCACATGAATCGATCAATGCTAGACCACCATTAAAAATCCTGTAAGCACTGGATGGCCATTTCGTCCAGGTATGGGACTCACCAGCAATGCGCTTATGAATAAGTGCCTAACCTTTTTCAGATACATATATCTTGCAAGAGACTATATGTGAGTGTGAATAAGAATACAATCATAGATTATTGTGAGCTGGAGTTTAGAACTTTATCTCCTGAATGACATGAGTTCATAATTAAATAAATTTAGAAATAATATTCAAAGTATTTTGATTCGCTCTAATGGACTGTAAAAACTTCTCATGAGGCCGGATGGGTAACTGCCGGTCTGAAGACCGGATAAGGAAGGAGGTTTAGGCAAAATGTTCACGACTTCAATCGGCAGAAATCCATCTCGCTAAAAAACGCTAGCCACTTAAATAAATTACTGGTCTTCGGCCTATGATCCATTAAGAGTAACAGGTGTAGGTAAGTAAGTAAGTGATTTCATTGAAAATCATATTACTTATTAACAATCGTCCTTGCAAAATACTTTGGATTCTCTGACTAGACAATATCGGCAACAACCTACTGTGTGAAAGAACAAACAAGATTCCAGCAGAGGAAGACGTCAGGGAAGAGCGTTGTGAGTGGATAGAAAGCACATTGCCGAAAGCACCCGACTACGTGACAAGACAAGATCTCACCTGCAGTCCTCGCGGCCAACGGTATGAAGGAAGACCTAAGAACACATTACGCCGAGAAATTGAGACAGATATGAGAAGAATGACTAACATTTGGTCAGATGTAGAAAGGCAGGCCTAGGACAGAGTAAGCTGAATAATGCTGGTCTGCGGCCTATGCTCCGTAAAGGGCAGCAGGCGTAAGTAAGTAAGTAAATATCATTCATTTCTTATCATTCATAAAAATGCATCCAACATTATAATTATCTACGATTTTTTGTACACAGACTAACGCTCCAACTTCGATTTTACTTCAAGTTTTGTCATAGTGGAGAAAATTTGTAGCTCAGGTGGATGATTGTGGTGGTGAGAGAGCGGAACACCACCACAACTAAGTTTTGTCAGTTCAACTGTTATAAATGTAGCTAATCAGCTATACGAGTTATGTTAGGTTGGTAGTAGTTATTATAATCAGCACGATAAAGAAACGTTGAAGTTAATGATAACATCTAGACTTAATGGTTATATTGAAAAAGGGAATAACTTACCTTGATAATTTTAGTGCCTATCGGTGAATTTTCTTTCATTGTAACCTTATATAATTCTTGATCAAATATCGGTTCATTATCATTCTCATCTAATATTTCTAAGAAAATGGTCATTGTAGCTGTTAGACTAAACATTGGTGGTGATGATGATGATGATGATGTCATTTCCAGTGGTTTCCTCTGCATATACACATGTGATGATGATGATGGGCTCAACGGAGAGGAGGAGGACGATGTTGTTGATGAATAACCATCCCAACAATGTAAAATAGCAAAGTATGGATTGGTGACATTTTCACGATCAAATTTTCGTTGACTGTATAATGTGAAACGTTGATAAACATGAGTCTCTGTGTTTGACGACGTCGATGATGATGATGATGGCATCGGTGAGAATATTGTGGAATTATAATAATGATGATAATTATTGATTTTCTGTGACAGTGTTCTGTCATGTAAATACAACGATTCTTGTACAAATAGAATAGGTTGATTTCTTATTAAATATGTTGGTTCTTCACAATGTACTTGACCATTAACTGTTGGACTGTCACGATCAATTATGAGAAGCTAGTTTGATAAATGAAAAATAAATTTTAATATTGTTAATAAAAGTTATACCGATTATTACTTTATTTTTTTCAATTAGACTTATGGATAACAGTGTTTTTACACGTTGAAATCATCAACCATCAACCATAAGATGACCTGGAAGCACTGGACGCGGCCATTTCGTCCTGATATGGGACTACTTGTCAGTGACAGTGCACATCTACGACTCTTGCCATTATCGACCTTGCTCGGACGTCTAACCTCTGGACCACTGAGCTAGCAGTGATCATTGTTGAATTACTTATATATTGATCTGTTCATCCATTTTTTTCCTTGAAAAATCTTCAGAATTATAACAGTGTCACTTATTACATGACATACAGAACACAGTTCAGGTTAATTCTAAAATATGACCTCTGACCTTAATGCAAATGCAAATCACAAACCTCAAAATGGCGCTATGATAGAGCACGTTAACGCTTCAGTCAACAGGAACGAAGTCACTATTCATGCGTTTCATACAAATTCCATTGTGTTCTAACTCTTCCCTTCTTGATCTTCCCCCATGTTCTGCTGCCAGACATTGCGTTGACACTCACGTCGTCATGTACTACTTATAAGTAGCTCGCACCGCACTAGTACTTTTCGATTTCGGAGAAAAGTTGAAAATTGAAGTAATATTTAAGTTTTTTTGTAAAACTGGTTCATTTAATTATCGAAAAATTCTTTCAAGATCGGATGATTAACGCTCTTTCTAAATCACCGTGGTGTAAATGCAAATCACATAATACTGACTAGCACAATAGTAGATTGAAATAGAACGCTGAGTAAGCCAAAAAAATTGCAGTAGTTCATAAACTCAACAATTTTTAAATAGAAATGTATCCGATTAGGAATACCATAGAAGTGAGGTGCAGTAAGTCACAATGGATTTATGATACTATCAAGACACATTTAAACTGTATACGGCAAGAATGATCTGTTTACTGTGTTAAAGAAATTATTATTTATCTAATCAAAAAGGTACCTACATAATTTCCAATAACATCCCCTAACGTAACTTGTAGCAGAATTAATGTATACGGAAAGACATGTCTAGCCTAGGCAGTTAATCACTAAAACTTGTTAACTGAAGCCTTCATGCATTGAATATTCTGTGAAGAGAAGACGGCAGAATTGTTCATTGTAGCAAGTGTCGAAAAGTACAGGACTGAAAAATTCGTTATAATCGTTCAGTCGACAAACAATGATTTCACACCATTGCCCAGTCGGCGTATGGCACAACGATATTCTAGAAATTCTATCAGTTGTAGTTGGATGACTTCTCTTCTGCTTCTTAGGAACCTCTAGATCTTCATCACATTTACTAGAAGTCATTCCAACCACTTCACATTCAGCTATTGAAAGCAAAAGACCAATTGAAACTGATTATCAGGGTCATAAGTGTTAACGTTGAAGAACAAACGATTCTCTTTTTAACTGTGGTACCATCATTCACAAATGTTTGATTCATAGTGATGAGTTCAAGCTGAAACTGTAATTCTATGTAACATGCTAAATTACATTATTACTAAAGTGTATGAATGTGAAAACCATGTTGATTGACACAGTTAATAAATCAATCAATTGATTCACCTCTAACGTCTACATCAACTGAAGTTTTGCAAGCCAAACTCGATAATTATTCACTTGAAAAGTTTATCGATTAACACTTACAGTTTGATTTAATCGATAGAATGGTAAAAAATATTTTTCTTAATCCGTAACGATCATGTAAGGAATGAATTCTCATCGGAATAAGGTTATTTAGAAAAATAATGAATCGTGAACTGAGCATTAGTATTAGGATATCTCTAAGCCTATAAAATTACATAAAAAGATTTGTTAACTAATGAGTGGGGTTCTGCGAGCGAGACCGAAGTTTCTGGGTTCGAATCATGTAAGTAGAAGGTGTCGGGGATACACACTGTCACTGATGATTCCCATACCAGGATGAAACGACCGTATTTCAGTACATTCAGGTTTCTAATGGTGGTCTAACATTGATCGATTCATGGTTTGAAATAATAACAGACAAACTTCATACAGTATCTAGTTCATCTAACTGTTTAATGCTAGACGTAAGGAGTTTTCTTTTCACAAATTTAAAACAATTAGTCCCTTTTATAAACTTTGATTGAACAATGAGAAGACGTCCTGTGCACGAACGGCTAACCTCTGGTACAGTGTGCCGGCATCCAACAGTGATGAGTCCCATATCAGGATGAAACGGCCGCCCAACGCTTCCAGGTTTTCAATGGTGGTCTAACAATGATTGATTGATGATTTCAAATAATTGGTTCTTTTTAGAAAATTTTGATAAAAATCCAAAATAACAATTATGATAGAATTGTACACTGTATTTCATAGATTCTCGTCAGATGCTTAGAACTATGTTCATATTAAAGTATAACGTCAAGTTATGATATAATATGCCGAACCACCGACTGCCTCGACGACCTTTGTTTTGTAGTGTAGGAGTAGGTTGGAAGAAAGTTAGGGGGTGGCCAAACCAAAACATGACAGAAATCCATGAAGTCATTGACAAGTGGACTGAGTCATGTCGGTAGTTGTCGACTACCTGGTTGGGGTCCGCGAGATGATAATAATCGATGGTTAGATACCCTGAATGACATGGCTCAAAACCGTTTGCAATAGCGCCGGTGCATTTATTCTTTGTGTTCTCTCAAATTCTTATTCTTCTGGATTCTTCAACCCCTCTAGTTTTGCCTTTCTAAACTTTTCTCACTGAATCATACTTCTTGAATAACATCTTCTAATCTCAACCTCTTCGATTACTTCTAATACCTTTACTACCTCTTCTACTATTGGATTTGAATTGACAATTACATCTCTGTGTATGCTAATGTGGTATGGCAACATGAACTGATGTACTTACGTACGAAGTTCTACGTTGCATCTGATTATGATATAATATTGAGTAATAGACGTTGGTGATAGAGAACTTTCATCAGTAGTAATTATGTATCAAAAACTAATGGAGGTTGTACAATCTAAGTAAATCTTTGTCATTGAAAAGAAAATTTTCTTCGCTGAATCGACCAAATTCTTTTTCATATGTGAGACTATTTTAAAGATGGAATTTAAAAGCATGTAGGGTTAGGCAATAATTATATGGAGCTCGGAAATCACCAAGATCGCTTATACAATAAGCACAGAAGATATGTAGAGGTTGCATATATTTCATCAGATCACTTGAAAAATAGAAGAAGGCGAAGAGCGATGAGATGGTGGAGAAAATTTGAAGCTCAAGTAGATGACTGTGTTGGAGTTTCGTTTTCTGAACCGAATGTTTTTCTTGTGAAGCCTTCATAATTCTTCTGCTGAACAACATGATCAGCACAAACTTCAGGCAGATAGAAGTGAAGTAGTCAAAGTTCTCCGCACACAACTTGTAGCTTGCCCTGCTGACCTCGATCTTGATTAGTTTCTATTGACCTTAAACCTAACGATGTCTGCACCTCTAATTGTTTCCCCCTTTGATCTGTTTCTTGATCCTAAATTTGTCTATGAATTTTCTGACTGGTTGATAAGTCGGGTCGGTGTCCATGTGTCTGCTGATCGCTGATTGATTTGAGTCTCAAGCTTCTAGAAAATTCTCTAGTGTCCTGTGTACTCTCTCTATCCAGCAGTTCAACATCTGTTTCAATCGAATTGTAAAGCTACCATAGTTGTCCGTATGTATTGATATAAACGAGGAAATGTCATGTCCATCTAAAGTTTATGCACATGATTTTGTTTAGAAGAACAATGAAAGCTTCACAACCAATTAACGAGCGAAACTCTATCACAAAAAGTGATGAAGTGGTACTAGTCTAGACTTAGAAATTATAAACGTTTTGAATAATTGTTTATCAGTTTAAAGAATTCAGTGAATTTGAAACAATAAAATGATAGTTTTGCTAAAGACAAGATGACTACAATTTTAGAGGAAAATTGCTTAACATATTAAACGCAACAGCAAAACAATAGCAGTGATTTAAGTATAAAAAATTATAATAATCATCAATCAGTCATTGTTAAAACACCATCAGAAACCTGCAAGCACTCAATGGCCGTTTCGTCCTAGTATGGGACTCATTAGCAGTGCGCATCCACGACTCCTGCGCCTCGCAGGATTCGAACTCGGGACCTTTGGTACTGTGCGTGAACGACCTCACCCATTTGTCTTTGGTAGTTACTGTCTACAGCCGACACGGTTGGACTCCACTGGTCACGTCTTCTCAACTAGAACTCTGAGAATTTCTACACGAAGCTATTTTGGGGCAGCGTTTAGGAGGTTTTATGTTTTTACACATTTGAAATCATCAATTGTGCGAGGTGCAGGATTCGTGGATGCGCACTGCTGATGAGTCCCATTCATGGAGAAAACGGCC